CTAATATGCAGACATTTCAATTAAACTTCCATTCCCCTCAAAAACAGCCTGGCAGCACCTTGCCCCTCTCCACTCCCTGGCCCAGTGCGATATTTCAGTTCACGTCATTCAGTCCTTCGTGCTACACTGGCGCCCACAGAAGTAGGAAGTAGACAGTATAAACAAAAGATACACTATTTCTCGTGCTCAGACAATGAAAGGGTTTTCATTCACCCCTTGGCCCATCTGGAGTGTCTGCTGTCCACTGTGCGGATGTGCCTGGGGCGTTGTTCACCTAGCAGACTCTATACCTGTGCACAGAGCAACTCAGGCCCGACCACCTGCGAGGCAGGGGCGCCGCAAAACGCAAATGTCCTCTGCCCAGCGGTGGACAGGAGTTGACCCACGTTGGCTAGGGAAAGACTCTAGTTACCTCATATAAAAAAAAATTAGTTACCTCAAGAGCTCATGTTTTATAGAAGGGCTCAGCACACCGCTGCAGCCTCGGGCCACAGCCAAGAATCCCATCCAAGCGGACACCAAGCCTGAGCGCACAGCAGCCCACGCCTGCAGGACTCAGGCCTGCACTTGCAACACTGCCTGCCACAGGTCAGCTGGCACTCGGACTCGACCTGACTCCAGTGGTGGAAGCAACCAGCAGAGGACACTAAAGAACAACAGGGAACCTGGCTGTTTTGTGTGGATGGCCCACCTGATCGAGGCAGTTTTGAGGTACAGGCTGCTGAAACAGACCACATACATTGCTCCTCTCCCTGCCAGGGGCTCACCCCTTCATGCAGTTTGGAGCGGAGATTCTGCTGCTCCTGTCTGCAGCCCACTATTATCCCTGAACCCCCACCATCCATCCACAGACCACACCCTTACTCCCTGGAGTCTCAGAGTCGCACACCAGCGCTGTGATGGTCAGGACACTCCATGCATGGAGGTCATTCAGCAGCACACGCATTCCAGGCATGCCGCCACCTTCTCGGGGCCTGGGCTGTGTCCTGGACCATGTTCTGCGTCCCAGTGCCACCACGGCACTTGCACTTCAGATGTGGTGAGAAGGCACCAGTGGGCAGTGGAATCTGGGACAACCTGAGCATCAAAATAAGTAATGTCGGGAGTGCATGTTAACCCAGTGAAGTAAACAGGGACCCGTGAATCTGAGCTGATAAACGAAGAAACACAAAGGGAGAATGGAAAGCTCTTACTCCTTCACACATTTCCTTCCCATTATAAAAGGAAAGGCACCAACTGGATAGTGGAAGACGCCACTGACCACTGCTCATACTGCCCGCAGCTGGACACTAGGACATGGCGACATCTGTGCCCCTCACTGCGAACACAGGAAGGCGATGCTGTCAGCTCTGCAGCAGTCCTTCCCAGAGTGCAGAAAACTCAACACGAGGAAACTTACAGCAAACCAGATTCAGGAGGAGTCTGCACACTGACTGTCCTGTCCTTTGTAAGGGCAGAGCCTCAGAAAGACGGGCCCCAGATTCATGGAGTCAAAAGGCAACTAAATTTACTGAGTGAACCCAGAGTGGTTCCTGGACCTAAAACATTTTTTTTCTCTACAAAGGATAACTGGTGAGGCTTGAATAAGACTTACAGATGATATAACAATATTGTAACAGTGTTAATTTCCTGATTTTGATAATTACACTGTAGATACGTAAGAGAATGCTCTTCTCTTCAGGCAATACACACTGACGAATTTAAGAGTAAAGCAGTAATCATGCCGGCAATTTATTCTCAATTCCTTAGAGAATAATAGATCGCAGGTGTCAAGTGGTAGAATGTTAAAGCAAATGTAGCAAAATGTTAACCCCAGGGAAGTTAGGTGACAGGCAGGTCCTTGGTACCACTTGCAACTTTTATGTAAATCTGAATTTATTTCAAAACAAGAAGTCACAGAAATAAAAAAATTCATTCAACCTGGAAGAGTAAGGCACCTTATCCGGGGGGACGATCGCGTGATTCAGGGCCGCTAACGAGGAGCATGCACCGGGGCTTCGTGCTCACCTGTGGCTCTCTCACCTCCTTCTTCAAGGACCGGACCCCACCGCCCCATGTGTGTGTGACCCCACTGCCTCTGAGCGGGCTGAAGGCATGGCAACTCCAGGACAACTTCCTCTATTTGCTCGAACTGGGAAAATACCCTGTGAGGCTTCACAAGGCTCATGGCAAAAAAGACCAACACTTCAGCAAAGGCACTGTTATATATTAAGCAAATAAAGACACTACATGTTTCAAATGCTACAGTCCACCATGGAGCAGTGCTGTGCACCACTCACCAAGAGGCGACGCTCCCTGCTGTAGACAGCAGGTTTTTTGAATGTGTCACTTTCCCAAAAAGCCTCCCATCCCGCCCCCACCCCAACCCCCGCATTCAACAATGGACCATCTGGGTGACTGCAGACAATGGCTATTTTTAATTGAACAACTATCAAGGCAGGCATCTGTGGCTTTGGCTTTGAGGGTCACTGTGTCATTATTCAGAATTCCAGAGCTTGGTGTTTTCAACCGGCTATTTATAAAATCTGGAGCATATCTGCCTTTGATTTAGGGGGGAAAATCAGGTTCTATATAGCATTAAGTCTGTCCCAACTCTGCCTCCAATAGCTCAGCCTACTGAGAAAGCCAGGCCCTTGACGTATTAGCTGCTGCATTTTCACAATGGCTCATTTTTAAAGTGAAAAAACAAAATAAGGCACATAATTACAAAATATTGCCAATACTGCAGTAAGACTAACTTGCAGTTATTTTACCAAAGGTTTTGAGAACAGATGGCACCTCCTTTGAAAAATAGATGTGACCATCATACTTATAGTCTTAAGCACTAACCTATGAAAACACTGGGAGAGAGGGAATAGAAGGTTATGAACCTGCTCGATGCTGTTGTCTCACCCCAATGGAGAGGCCAGGGAACGGAACACCCCCAGCACCTGTGTCTCACGTGAGCAAGACTGGAACTCGCCACCTCTTTTGATGTCCATAGCATGGCTGTGCACCAACCCTTGTGCCCCCTTGCCCAGTGTCTCTTCACTGCCCACAAGGCCACCAGAGGTACAGCTATCAGAGCCCTCTAGCAGTCCAGGGAAAAGCCCTGGAGAACCACGGATCCTTCACGCGGGTCCCCTCAGTGGTCCAAGGCTCTGACCCAGCCCCTGGGAATTGCATTGTACAGGCTCACCGTAGCATCCAAGTGACTTGTCCCTCTAAGGCAGCCCCACCCAAGTCAGATCTGGCTACCTCCAAACCCCTTTCAAAATGGGGGAAGGTGAATTCTGCTGCTAGTCAGCTCACTGGCTAACCCCAAAGAGGTCATTATGCTCCTAAGAAGTGACTGATCTTTTCCTGCTGGTTCTGGACACATGCTTCCAGTCAGGACAGGGTATATTCGGAGCCTACTCTCTTGAAGGGGCCCATGTCGTCCTGAATGGCATGAGGGAGGATTTGGTATGAGGGCCAATGTCATGAGTATACTGGGCCCTTTCCCCAGTCAGTCTCCCTCCTAGGACGGTCTACCAGGAGACGGTCAAGTCCAATCATACACTGTAACAACAAAATCCTGTCATTGAAACCATGTAGACGACTGAGAGGAATAGTAATTTCAGTGCCAGATTATGAAAATTCAACCTTGCAAAAAACAATTACCATTTCAGATCTGGGCTGAGGCAAAATCATGTTCTGTGACCTGGTCTGTACAGGTGTAGGATGCAACTAGTCAACCATAATGTAAGAAGTGCCTAAGCCCATCCACCAATGTGCTATTTCCCATTTAATGACAGAATCATGCTATGACACACTTTCCATCACACACAACATACACTCACTCCACAGGAAGGTACAAAGAGAAGCCAACATGAGCTCTATGGAAGTCCTGACTCCCTGACAGAAATACTATAGTGAGGAAACGAACATCCTTGCCTCCACCCCTTCCATTATGGGAAAATGTCTGTGTTTATTTAAGAGAAGTTTGAGAGGCACTGAATATAGATGGGAAAACTAGAATGAATGAATAATAATTAACAGGTAACATACATTCACCTGTTTAACAATAGCTAACTGAAAAAAAAAAGAGAGAGAGCGAGACTAATGCTTAAAGCAGTACAGAAATATTGAGGTGTTCTAAAAAAGCATGATCTCCCAGGATTAAAGAAAATCTTTTAAGAGGGAATATTCTGAAACAATGTTCAAAAAACATATTTAAGTAATAAATGACATTTCCCACAAAACATGTGTACCTTCCTTTTGGACAAATCAACAGAAACGTCTTCGTTATCAGGTTGTTTAAAAAAATGTAAATAAGCCAAAATTACATTTCTTCCCACCTGCTCGTGTTCTGTGGCAGGGAGCAGTCACACAAGCTCACCCCTGCCTCCTGCACGGAGCTAAAGCCTACCCATCTCAAAGTCTTCTAGAAGGAAAGGGTTTCCAAATGGTGATACACACACAACCGGCACTGCGTCTGGAGAAAACACAAAACTAAATATTTTCTTCATCAACAGCACACGTCAAAACGTAAAGGGTAGTCAAATTATAGACTACTGAGGGATGGTCTCCGGGTCCATTTCAATGAACAAACATAAGGGGGGCTCTGTTCCCTTTGGCTAGTGAAGATGGGAATTCAAAAGTGTCTTTAGCTTTGCCCCAAGCTGTTTGAAAGGAAAGGAGAGACACCCCATGTAGACCCAAAATTACATTAGTATTTATCCGGGGACAGTTCAATGCACATAAATGACTCCTTTCTTGGAATGGTTGTTTAAGGTTTTGTGCTTATCAAATCCCTTTGCCATCTCATACTGTATTCTCTCCAATTACCAGCACTTAAATCCAACCATTAAAACATAAGGAAAGCGGGCAAGAAAAAGCACTGATAGGCCACACGTATGTTAACATGTGCCATTTCCAAAATAAACATAGAATCATTACTGGTCACCTTTTAAAAACAACCACTATGGTGGAAGGGGCAGAGGAGCAAGGAGAAAGGGGGGTAAAGAAAACATCATTACCCTCCTTGGGTAATAGGCATTAAACTCGTCTCCGATACGCCGCAGCTCTTGTGCAATCCAGATCTCCGGGCGCATATCTGCAGGTACAGCTTGAGACTGCCTCATGGAAGCTGCATCAGAACAAACAAAACAAAAATCATTTGTTTTCCATAGGTCATTCGCAAAGTTCCTAAGGTAAGTTTCTTGAAGTAAGCCCACTTTTCCCCCACTTTCATATTTTTGGGGGTGTGCTCCCTAACTGAAAGAAGTACAGTACCCCATTGAACATTACGACAGAGTCTGCTACATAACTGGCTCAAGAATAAAGGCTGCAGAAATATTTCCTTCTTCAAAACTAGAGATTCAGAATTGCATAATATAAAAATATCCTGATAAATTACAAAACTTCGGTGTCAAGAAGGCAAAGACACAGAAAAATGGTACAAAAAATATCACCAAATAAAAATACTCGAAATATATGAAAATATGAACACTCAGGTTGTCAGTAAAATAACTGTTCAGATGTGGACATAAGGCAAAAATTCCTAGAAAAATAACCAGTATCACACAGGAGTGAGATGACAGAGCTGCCCCAGTTGGAGCTCAGAGACTGAGAAGCTGATAGTCAGCCACAAGCTACCTGGGGCGGCTGTTTCCATGGAGGTAGCACTGAGGTCCCAACAGCAGGTCTTCACAAGAGCTACTGGGGCCAGATGAAAGCATAATTGCATGTTTTGTCTCAATAAGAATACAACCAATAAAGACGGATTCAAGTCTGCAAACACCACATGGGGAGAGGAAATGTTTTGGGTGTAAGAGCAAAGGCATTTTTGAAAGAAGAAAAAAGAGGGAGGCTGGCCCTTTCATTAAGCTGTCACTAACATTCACACCAAGTGTATTCATCCGTTCATTAATGAAACCATTAAAAGCCACATGACAGCCAAAAGTGATGGAGAACAATAAACATGGGTCGTGCAAAGCTCCCACCACAGGAAGACGAAGCTCTCCGTGCACAAGAAGGAAGACTCACTCTCCACTCAGACAGCACAGTCCCACCGGCACAGAGAAAGGGCAAAGATGCATGACTTCAGCAGCTATCCACGCTACTCACAGGCAAATCATGTTAAAACGGGCATAACATACTCACAATTAAACACATGCTACCCTGTAACCACAGCAAAACATTTTTGTAAAAATTCTGAAAACCAGGTTTTTGCAATAAGGTTATTACAGTTTCCTGTTTTGTGTTTTTAGAAAAAAAATGTGTGTTTTGTATTTGACTTGTCATCAAAATAAAACTGATGCTAACAGCTCTATACAGGCGCTTAAAAGTGAACAACTTGAATGGCTTTTACCAATTCTCTAAATTCTTGCCCATCTTCTCTGTCCCCAGTTCCCACCCACGTGAATGCAAGGCTGACTCCAGAAAGAGCAGCCAGGGGCAGAGCACAACCATGGGGACGAGGAGGAGGAATAGAGTGGGTGGTGGGCAAGGAAAAACCTGTGGGTGAGCAGGCAAGTTCCTTGGCTATATATCTAATAAAAATTACTTTGGACTGCACACCTATGTCACACAAATATTTCTCATTTCTCTGTCAAGTCTACTCCTAAGTGACTAAACCAGCAGAAAACAAAACAGGAGGGATGTGATACCAGGCAGGACAGCTGACTTCCCTTTCCTGGGCTGACAGCTCTTTAAGGATTTAGTCTATCCCGGGACAAAATCATGACTACTCCCTTTACACTCCTCCCACTCGTCCCGTCCCGACTTGGAAACCTGAATTTGCCCTGGAGGCCAAATGTCTCCTGCCTGCCTGGGCCTGCAGAGTGCATCATGCATGTTAGCTCACGTGACGCCCCCATGGCCTGCGGGGAGACGCACCTGCCCACAGACACAGGTGAGCAGAGCAGGCAGGATGCCACGTGGTCGCTGGGGCCACCACCGCTCGCTTTCCACAGCACCTGGCTCTGAGAGTATTCTGCCTTCAGTCCTGGACCCAAGAACGAAGAAAATGTCAATTATCAAAAGTCAGTGAAATGTAGACTATGGTGTTTTACCAAGACAGCAGTCTAGAGGAGGTGTGGATGAGTCACCCGATGCTCAGTGTCCTATGGCTCTGGTGACAATGGCAGCTCAGTGTCAGCCATGGATCTAGGTGGATTCTGGGTAGAGTAACCTGAAAGGCTGAGCCCTCTCACAAGCTTACCTTATGCTTTTAGATGCTTAATTTCTACTAATAGTTTCTTCTGGACAAGGGTAATTAAAAGTATGCTATATGCAGGCCCTCCCAGGTTGGAGCGTTGCACTGCAAAGCTAAGCCAAGCCATGACTGCTTCAGTGCAAGTTTGATCCCTGTCCCCGAGGTGACCCACATGGCGTGGCAGACCTCTCCTGACCCACCTGCTGCTCCCCTCAGCAGTGTACTTCATCAGATGGCCTGTTTTGCTTGCTGCTCTGTCTTTGGTGAATCCGCTCACTGCCCCTGCACCTCTGGCCTGTACCCCACTCCTGTATGCATAAATTTTTTTTAAAAAGTATATTTTATACTTACTTTGTTTAAAAAAATTATTAAGAATAAACAAAAACCCACCCCTATCCATTAAGCCTTGCTCTGACCCACTGGTCCCATTCTCTTCCCTCTGGTAACTATAATTCTGCTGCCAACATCTAATGTTCTATTTTTATTTTTTTTTTTATTTTTTTATTTTTTTTTAAAGGTTTATTTATTTATTCGTACAGAACTGGGGTACAGGCCAGAGATGCAGAGGGTGAGAGGATTCACCAGAGACAGAGCGGGAAGCAGAACAGGCAGATCGACGAAATACACTGCTGAGGGGAGCAGCGGGCGGGTCAGGAGAGGTCTGCCTCGCCATGTGGTCGCCTCCGGGGCAGGCGGGAATCGAACTCATGCGGAAGTGGCTTTAGTGTCTTAGTGCAGTGCTTTAACCCGCTGCGCCACCAGGGAGGGCCCTCTATTTTTATTTTATTTCCTCCATTCGTCTGCTTTGTTTCCTTAAACTGGTAAAATCATCCAATACCTTTCTTTCTCCTGACTTACTTCACTTTCCATAATCTTTCTGTTCCTTCCATTTTGCTATAAATGGCAAAACTTCATTATTTTTAATGTGAATAGTCTTCTGCTGAACACTCTACCTCCTTTAGCCAACTGTCCATCAGTGGGCTCCTAGGCTGCTTCCACAGCTTAGCTATTGGAAACAGTGCTGTAAAAAACACTGCGGTGTCATTAACTCTACCCAGAAGTGGGTCTGCTAGAGCTTATGATAGTTCAATTACTAGTTTTTTTCAGGAAGGTCCATACTGTTTTCTAAAATGGTTCCACCAATTTACATTGCCACAGCAGAAGGATGTTATATTTTCTGTGGCATCTTAGTATACAAGAAAAACTCCTCTCCCCAGTAGGTGAAAAAAAATTCACCTTTACACCTTCGGGTGCAGCTGGGAAGGCTCTGTCTGGCTCACGTTTGGCTAGCAACCAGGCACATCATTGCCAGAGCCAGTCTTGTCAGAAGCCACTTTATCAAAACCCGCACCCAGCGAACTGACATCAGCCTAGTCAGCAGCTAAGAAGCAAACCAGGGACCTGGTGGCCAAATCCAATTTATTCATCTTAGAGATAAATGCCCTACTGTTTTGTAGGGAAGGAGGCAAAGAAGATAAGCAGATGCATCTGTAGAAAGAAAAGTCCAGTAGCTGTTAGCTTAACATACACAGATATAAACACATCTGCAGAGACAGGCAGTACCCATAGGAAGCTCAGGATTCTTAGCAGTTCCCAGAGTGACTCTGCTGTGAATGGGCCACAGATCAGACCCCAAGAAATACCAAGAAAGGATAAGAAGCCAGGCAGAGTTCCTGGAGTCCAGATGTGCATTTCAGACAACATGTAAGTGTCTGGAGGTTACAGTAACCCTAGATAACAGATCAGATCAGGCTGAGCATATGCCAACTGGTAATAACAACAGATCAGTATGAAAGCCATCAATAATACTTTGTAGATTTCTTTAAGCTGTAGACTAGTAATGTACAAATAAATTTTTCCAGGAGACTGTCTTTGTCTCTATCACCATTTAGCTTCTTAGAGGGTTGTTATGTTTTGTTTCTGAGAGGCAAATACTGTTCCTATTCCTTAAACTATAAACTAATGGTTAACTTCCACCTTTTCATAAAGCCTAGCTAAAATGAATACAGAGTATATGGTTATAAAGTAAGACTGCCAGACAAAAATTCCATTTTGACTATCTTAAAGGACATCCTAACACAGACATGCCTAATTTCAAGAGTATTTTTAATCTTAGTTAATACAGTACATTTTGAAAGAAACTTCAAAGATTATTTCTCAAGTGGCAAACTATCTCCTTTTGGAGGAGGGGAAGCTTTTACTGAATGTCATTACAATGTTAGTGACTGTCCATCTGTTCTCATGCCACATATGAACCTACTAGAAAAAGCACAGAATTTGTCTGACCCTGGAGAATGAGCCCGTCAGTTCCACAAACGTGGTCAGAGCCAGAATTAAGGTTTTTATTCCCTTTGTCACTAGTCTGCTTAATTCTGTTCCAGGATCACCCAGAGCATGGGTCAACCATGATGGCGAAGGGACTTCTGAATGCAAACTGGAGCCAGCAAAGCCAGGGGTCAGGGATGCTCAAAACATACCCTCCCCTAATCCCATCCAGATTCCCACTCACGTAGAGCCTACCTACCAAAAAGTTTCATTTACATTTCTAGTCCCTAAGTTCCAAGAATAAATCTCTTATGAAGCCATCTGCAATGTGTCTAGCAACCATAAATGTTGATATTTAACAAAATGGGTCTTTATTTGCAACAAAGCTTTTTTTTACTACAAGGAAGATAAAGCTTTTAACATACAATTTTATGTGAACATAAAAAACTTCCAAGGGGAAAATCAGGTGAGATGTATTTTTACCCATACAAACAAGTACAGTTTTAGACTGAGGGGAGCTTTTCAACCCAGAAACTTGGTACTAAAAACTGAAGGAAAGTAAGGCACGATGAAATATTAACTGCTCCAAGAAGCTGCTCTGGTGTTTTAACTGGGCCCCAGCCCCACACGCTGCTGGCTGAGAGGGACCTGCAGGGGCCAGGTTT